GTGGCAGCATATATGTTATAATTTTTATTTTAATTAAAGTGAAACATCTCTTAAAATAAGAGGTAAAGGGAAAACAATTTTATTCAAATTAAGATGGCTAGGCCATCATTTTATCATATTAATATAGAAAAAAATTAATATTAAAATTTCATGTCAAAATTAAATTTACATAATTTTATCTCAAATGTCTTGACCTAACAATATTGAAGTAATTGAAAATGGAAAAAATTTGTACCCATCAAATTTACCAAAATTAGAAAATTATAACCATATAAATCGCAAATAAAAAGAGAAAAAGAAAAGGAAAAAAAAAAAAAAAAAGCAAAATAAAAAAAGAAAGAAAAAGAAAAAAGGAAAAAAAAAAAAAAAAAAAAAAAAAAAAAAAAGAATACTCACCATTTTAACTTCTTGTTTATAAATTGTGTTATTAGACCAACTGCCACTCTTAATTAGCTGAGAGATGAAAACTTGATCATCTCCTTCCAATAAAATTTTTATGTGATTTTCATGGATAAATTTAGAATGAAATATTTAGAGACATAAAGAACCATATATATTATATAGTGTTTGAATTCATTTGGAAATTGTATGATTGTGGATTCAAAAATAATTAAAATCTTACTTAATAATAATAATAATAATAAAGCATTTATATGATTAGCGATATTGGTACCAATAGAGTTCTTTGTCCATTGCCAACAATAGCTTGCTTTGTGATTGTGTGCAGAACAAATTGAAAAAGAGAAAAACATAGGAACAACATAAACAACAATATTCAAAAGCTATAAAACTTATAAAGAATACCACAAGCCATTATTTTTAAAGTTATAAAAGCTCCAAAATTCATAAATCATTAATAAGAGAAAATACTAAAAGCCATTATGTTTAAAAGCCTTAAAACATAAATTAAAGAGGTAATTTCTAAAGAGCTATTGTATTTATATCTATAAAAAGTAAAAACCATAAGAATATGTTAAGACTCGGTGTGTTTAAAACTCATAAATTAAAGCATAATTTTTAAAGAGCTATTATGTGTAAAGTTCATAAAAAGCTATAAATCGGAGAGAGTGAGAGAGAGGTAAGAAAAACATATTTTCTCTTCAAATTCTTCAATTTTTTTTAATTGAGTTAAAATCAAATACTTAAATTTCAAAAATAATCAGCATCCAACAAATATTCGTGATTCTCATATATCATATATATATATATATATATATATATATAAATATATATATATATATGATGATAACATGATTATAAAATATTATATAAATTTCAATAATCCCAAGAAAATTTGACTAATTGCAACTAATTTCAAAAACTTCAAAATTTGAATGAATTCTCGTCCATTCGACACCAAATTAACATACAAAATAAGTTTTTATTCGTACCAAACATGCACCATAAACGCAACATGTTCAAATTTATTTTATATTAAATAAATAAAAATCTATACATGAATATTCTATATTTGATCAAACTGATACCATATATATGAAGACGAGTAGAGAGAGAGAGAGAGAGAGAGAGAGGAAGGTATAGGGAATGGTGGAGAGCCCACAGAATGGTGGCATACACGTCACAGTGGTTCATCTTTTTGGTTACTCTGTCTATCTCTAACTCCACTACAAGGACCCTTAAGAAGTGCCATTATCTTGTTTGTTTGCTTTTAAGAAATATGGAAATATATATATATATATATTAAGGATAACTTCACCACCACAAATATAATGTTTGTTAGTATTATTAATACATGCACATGATGCCATTTTCCACTTTAGATATCTTCTTTATCATTTACTATATTTCTGCATTTGCCTGGCTATGTTTGGCTCCTTCACCATCATCACTATTTTGTCAGTGGATTTACAAACCAGTCAACTCCAATTACATATTTTCTTCTATCTAATCAACCTCCAAAATTAAACAGTCTTAACTAGATTCCTTGGCTTCACTCTTCAATTTTCTCGATGCTTGTACGTCAAAAGGCACACATGAAAAGCATTGAGTTTTGCTTATTCAGAGTCTAAATAGATTTCATATCCATGAAATCAAATCATTTATGAGATTTCTCTCATTATCTAAAAAGATTTATATTATGACATAAACCCAATCTGGATGCAAAGATTCAAAGTTACAAGTTTAACGTTATCTAATTTTAAATAGATTTATATCATGAGATTTCTCAATTGTTTGTTACTACTGTTGGCCTCCTTTGGAAACAATTTTATATATATATTTTTTTGTTTTCGACAAAGGAGACTAACAATCTCCACCTTTAAAATAAAATTTAAAAAAAAAAAACATAAAATTTAGTTTTGCTCAATCCCACGTCAGGAGAAGAGCATTTGAGTGTGGTGGATTGGCTATAAAAAGAAGCCAAGGTTTAGGTTTCTAAACATACCAAAAACACTTGAATGTGTTTTATATTAGGGATTTAAAACAAGTCTTTTGGAGTCCCTTGGAGAATATAAAATATTTGGGGTGTTTTGAAACCTAAACCATTGTTGAAAACAAAAAATAAATATATATAATTTAGTTTTGCTCAATCCCACATCGGAGAGAAGAGCATTTGAGGGTGGTGGATTGGCTATAAAAAGAAGCTAAGGTTTAGGTTTCTAAACACACCAAAAAACACTTGAATGTGTTTTATATTAGAGATTTAAAACAAGCCTTTTGGAGTCCTTTAGAGTATAAAATATTTAGGGTGTTTTGAGGGTGTCGGGTAGAAAAATATTTTATAATTGAGGGTGTCGGGTAGAAAAATATTTTATAATTGTGGTTGTAATAATTTACCGCACAGTGAATATTTTTCTTGGTTGTCGTTTGGCAACGGCCGTGATTTTTTCTCCACTTGGGGAATTTTTCACGTTAAATTATCATATTATTTTTTTTTTTTTAATTTCTCGGTCATTATTTTGTTTTCTCATATTTGTTCCTGCTTGAAGCGGATTCGAAGGGCAGGAAAATAGCGATTTTCTTACTAGACACAATTGTTGGATAGAGACCATCATAAATTTTGCTTTTAGGACAAATTTAATTTTAAAAATATTAAAACATGTAAACAGCAATTTTAAACCATATTTTCTATACCTGACAGGTTTTCTTTTCTAATAAAAGAAGGGTAATTTCAAACCTCCAGAATTCAATATTGCAAAACAGATAGAAATACTTAAAAATCCATGAGTTTAGCCTTTGTTTTGAAGCTCCTAGTGACACGTAAAAAAGTTTTGACAATAGCTTTATTCTGGCTTTACATAAAGATAAGGGAGCGATAGAATCTAGAATAGCTCAATATAAGCGTAACCCCAGACATACTTGCACGCCATATCGACCTTATTTGCCTACAATGTTTTGATGGTTAATTTATATCAATACATAGGTTTGGTAAGTATTTTTATATATATTTGAGAAGAATTTTAATCGATAGTTGACAGAAATTCGAAACAGCTACTAATTTCGTTAATCACATCTTGATTTATTCGTATTTAACAGTTAATTTGTAGGTTTTTGTTGAGCTTTTTTATTTGCAGTATTAGTCCAAAAGAGCTCTTGATTCCATTAGATATATTTTAAAATTTTTTTTTTTATTAACTACTAACTCTTTTGAATATTATTTTATTTAAATTCTATTAATCTCAGAAAATAAGTATTAATTTCAAATTAATATTCTTTAGATTATTTAATTTATTAATTATTTAAAAATAATAATTTTTATTAAATATTATTTAAAAATTTTAATTAATATCTTTATTTATGTAATACATTAGAATAAAAAATAAAATATTCACTTTAAAAATAAAAACACCTACATTATACATCATGTATAAAAAATAATTATACAATTAATAATCATTTTAAATTTTAACAACCACAGTAAAAAATTTACCAACATTATCAGCAAATAACTAAATGGTACCTTTACATTATATTTAGACCATATCTTCTTTATAAAGCTCCTTAAAAAATTAATACTTCCATGTGATCATTTTATCTTTAATTATTTAGAAATTATAAATAATTGTTAGATATCATTATATTTTTTTTTTTTAATTTTAATCATCCAGGGTCCGAAATCCATTGATCCAATTAACCAGAATTCGCGTAGCATAAGCCCACTAAGGAGGCAAATCCATTGACCCAATTAATCCAAATTCGCATAGCGTAAGCCCACTAAAAAGGCAAAGCGTTTCTTTCCGAATGTTTAAAGCGACTTCATACTTAAGGTTTAAACTTAATACCTTTAATTAAGAGAAAAGAGATCCTTATCATCCCATCTCAACCCTCCGGTATCATTATAAACTATTTTAATTAATATTTTCTCTTCATATAACATATTAAACTAGAAAATAATATACTCAACTTAAAATATAAGAAATATATGCGAGATAAAATAATTTATAAAAAATAATTATACTAATAATAATTATTTTATGTTTCAAACTTTGGACAACAAACATTATTAAAATTTTACCAAATAATAAACATTCATGAATTAAAAACTATTAGCCATCAATAGTCACTGTCAACTACCATATGCTTAATATTACTGTTAATAATTTGTCTCCTAGAATAATATCTGATTCCACCTTCAGTTTTCTTAGTGGGAAGGGGGGGGGGGGGGGGGGGGGGGTTCACTTACACGACTCGTTAATAGTTCCTTCCTTTCTTATTCCCTACTTTACAACTTTTGTCTTCTTCTTCTTTTTTCGTTTCCTTCTACTTACCTCCTATGTGGATGGCCTTTCCTCGCAGAAGAGACAGTACATAACCATCATTTCTTCTAATTGAATACATGACGAAGCAAATCTAATAGCTTCCATCGAGTTGTTCTCTTTCATCGGCTTCAATTTTGAGCTCTTCTTTATTTAGTAATTTTCTTTTCAAATTATATTTTTAGTGTAGGCAATTTAATTAATGAGAATCAAAGTGCAGCCTTTTTGAGATAATCTTTACATTATAACGGAATAACAGAGCTCTATTATATGAACAAGAAGTCTCTATTTTCAATTAAAACAAGTGCCATGCATTGTAACAGACATCCTTAATGCACCATCTTTGTGTGTATCAAATACTTAATACACTATAACTAAACTATTTCTAAAAACTTAAAAAAGTAAACAAGGGAGGCTGATTATGAAAGTTACATCTACAGATCGATCTATTACTTTGGTTATTTCTTTATAGTGGCTGACATCAGGAGCATTTGGTACCTTATCACAAAATGAGCAATTGAGCATGCGTGCACCACATGTATGGTGAAGATGCAGATGGAGAATTTTATTATAACAAATCATTTTTTTCAAAACAAGAAAAGGTACTTAATAATGGATACTTAGTGGTATAAATACAAGTACGTACACCTAAATGGCCAAGCACCACAAAGTAGGTGGATCAAAGCTTTCTTTTTCTAAGAAAAAGCGCTGGAGAGACAGACACCAAAGGAGAAAAAAATGAAAATGATGCAAGACGAAATCAGAAAGGGTCCATGGACAGAACAGGAAGACATTCTCCTGATCAACTTTGTGCACTTATTTGGAGATCGACGATGGGATTTTATTGCCAAAGTTTCAGGTTTGAAGGTGGCGGGAGGAAAATAATAGGTATGCTTATCTGGAGATAGGTGGTTTTCTCAAGGAGCTACCTTTAACCGCCTGGTTTTGTTGTAGGTTTGAACAGAACTGGCAAAAGTTGCCGGTTGCGATGGGTTAATTATCTGCACCCTGGTCTTAAAAGAGGGAAGATGACTCCCCAAGAAGAGAGACTTGTGCTGGAACTTCATGCCAAATGGGGAAATAGGTTTGAGAAATCTTGTCTTTTTTCCCTCATATTTATTTTCTGTTCTAAGCAAATTCTTTATCCTAGTTCAGAATTTTCTGATTGTAATTTGCAGTCAGATGGTATAAAATGTTCAGAAATATTGAATTTTCCTCTCCTTTACCATTCATAAGTCTTTTTAAACATAGTAATCCATTAATTTTTTCAGTTCCGGAAAACTTTTCCAGTTATTATTAAATGGTGTATAATTTGCAGATGGTCAAAAATTGCTCGTAAATTACCAGGACGAACTGATAATGAGATAAAGAATTATTGGAGGACTCATATGCGAAAGAAGGCTCAAGCAAGGAAGAGGGCCATGTCTCCATCACAATCATCTTCCAACAGCTCCCCAACATCAAATATTACTACTGTGAATTCACCGCCTTTCCCAGAGACTGGAGAAGCAAGCTTTTACGACACTGGGGGGGCTGATTCATCACCTTCAGGAGAAAAAAATAGCGAGGCAGTACAGGGAGGTGAAAAAGGTTACTCAATGGATGATATATGGAAAGATATTGAAAACACTATTGAACCAGTTTGTAATGGGTTCAACGAAGAAGGTTGCAATTTCACTTGTCCTTCACTTGTTTCTCCACCTTGGGATTATTGTCCAGATACCCTATGGAACATGGAAGAAGAGAGTAAGATGTTTGTTCCTTATGAGTATGGAGCACTGTTTCTAACTGGCTAATCAGAAATTCTTTATTTTTACTTCTTCATAGATGTCATGTTTCTTTGAGGAAGCTCTAACCTGTATAGTTTGGGTTTTCTCTAAGCTTTCTGATGTGTAATCATCCTATGCATAACCTATGTTCTTGTGTTTTGTGTTTTTCACTTTTCAGAGAGAGAGAGAGAGAGAGAACCTTATCAAATCTCCTATGAGGAGATTTCTTATGTTCAATGATGTATAATACAACTTTTAAGTTTTAATGTTGGAATGAAGCTGGTGCAATGTTAGAATCCCCAAATCCATCAAATACACACATTTAAAATACAAATATAGACACAAAGCCATGGAACAATGGATTATAGATTAGCAACTGAATTTGTTCAAGCATCTTTCATGCTCCCATTATCAGTAAAAGCACTTCCTTTTTATCTAGCTCATTAGAAACTAAAAATTGAGAAGCCAATGCAAATGATTTCCATTTTCCAACTGGTTAACATTTCTCCCAAGACCTGTAGAACCCCTATATGTCTATGGTAAACCACATAATAATCTGAAAGCAATTTTCAGTTACTCTGCCTAGGAAATAAGATTCTTATATTTTCCAGCCTTTCCTATGATATGCACATTATTAAAAGAAGTTTATTCTGAAATAATATTTCCTTTCATCACCTTCGCAGAAAAACCATGGGGATCTCATAAATTTAAGTAAGCTTTCTTAGATAGAGGTATCTCTAGTTGTATCTTTGAATAGAATATGCCATTAGCTATTAATTGGTATTGAGGAAACAAGGTAGATGAATTAGAAGTAGTGATTTAATAACTGATCAGAACAGATCCGTTCGTCAAATTCAGAATAATTAAGCATAGGTCTGCTCTGTACTCAATCAAAAGAGATTCTTTGTGAGGGAATGGAGCTAAAGATATGTTTTTTCTCTTTTATCCTCATGCAATAAGATAATAGCTAGTGGTAAGCCCCCTAAAAACCATTATATATTTAACAAATTATTTATTTATACCAGTTGAGCATTTGCATTCTTTTGTCCAGTGAAAAAAGTCTGCAGAAAAAAGGGGAAAAAAAAAGGAAAGAAAAGAAGAAAAATGAATTAATGCTTTCATTTCGTCAATATGATTTTGACATGCTTTCAATAAAATGGTCCCTCGATACCACTAATGTCAACACGGCACTAAGAAGGCCGTCCAATCCCTAAGTAAGGACTAAGGAGAAGACAAAAACCAAAGGGCTAAGCATTGCACTTAATATTTTAATATGTTATCTTCAATTCTACTGTTTTTCTGTGGCCCATTACTGTTATCAAATTAAGAATCATTAGGTTTAGGTTTTAGGTTTTCAAAAGAACGGCAGATTGTAGACATTCTCTTCCATTAAAATTATTCCCTGCCATTGTCTGGGTCAAACACGTCACAGTGGAAGGCTGCTTCCATTAGTTTATATTATATATCTGTAGTTTATTCACTTCGGTTGAGCAATTAAAATTTTAACAGGCAACTCTATTCTCGGGGATTCAATTTTTTATAGTTGGATACATGAGAATCCAAACAAAAGAGTAGGTAACTATAACTATCTGTATATAGGGGAAAGTCAAGTATGCTCCCTCCATATTCATAGTTCAACCAGTAATATAATCTCTAGTATTTCTGTTATAGAGTTCCCTCTCTCTCCAAATGAAAATCAGCAAAATGACATTCTCATATTTGGCATCAGTTCTAACTCCACTCAAGTTCCAAAATCACAGAGATTAAAGATAAGGCTGTATTTTGCTTACAAATCCTCAGGTACTTACTTCTATATCCAAGTCCATAATAGTAATAATGGAAATACGGAAGAGGTGATTTACTGGTGTTTGTTCCCCTTACAAACCAAACATGAAAACTGGATAAGCAATCGCTGTCTTCACTGTCCATTGTCACCCTTCAAGATCTGCCAATAAAATGTATCATAAACTAAGTCTACCATAAAAATAGCGAAACTTTGTCCACCATTACCACAAACTGCATTGTCCAAATCATTGGCTAATTTCACTGAACTGAATGGTATTATGTTGACCATTGACTCATCTAATTTAAAAGGGAAAAGACAGGAAGCAAACAATAATGCTATCCACAAACTCTATTTTACAATGAGACCTTAATATTGTCGTGTACTAGGACCGCCAAGTCATTTGATGCGGTACAAAAAATGGGGATACTTTTTTCTAGATGAATTTCTTTTGTTTTTACTTATTTCTATTGTTACTGAGCTTTTTGTTGCATTTTATTTTTTTAATTTCAGGAATTTCAAGGTTTTACCGTTTTAGTTTAGCCGTCAAACTAGTGCAAAATGATCTTAACCAGATTGAGATTGAACTGGAGTAAAGTCCTACATACCAGCACACAGGTAAAGAATTAAATATTAGGAATGTTCGTTTCTTGTCTTTTTTTCTTCACTTCCTTTTTTTTTTTTTTTTTTTTCGTTTCTTGGGTCTTTTTTCTTCACTTCTTTTTTTTTTTTTTGGAGAAAAGTTTGGGGTAACTTCAATGGGCCATTGTTACCAAACCCCTGCAAGATATCCGTAATACCATGGTCCTAAGTCCAAGTCACCAGTAATGAGTTGTGAACTAGTCAGCAGTAGTGCCTTTCTGTGTTTTGATTCTGTTTAACATTCCTTGCATTGTAGGAGGGTATCCTCCATTCCCTTATTTCTTTTGTTTAGTGGGAGAGGTTATCCTCCCATATAGAAGTAGTGCTTCCTTGTATCAAGGGATAGTTATTTCTGCACTTGTATATATTCCAGCCAAAATCTGCGATGGAATAAAAGGGACTGTTTAAAACCCAATTTAAGTCTTTCTTTGACTGAAGTTTCAGGCCTCCCTTAACCGAGTCTGACTTTTTCTTGTTCTTCCACACCATAGGCTCACTCAAAGGGGAAAACACCCTAAACCCAAACACCCAAACACCAACCCCTCCCTACTATCTGACTTTTCTTGTCTTCCACCATAGGTCACTCAAGGAAACACCCTAACCCAAACACCCAAACACCAACCCCTCCTACTACCCATCGACCCATAACTAGATCCGTTAGCCGGGACCATAACAGCCATCCACAAAATCAGCATATATAATTAATGATTTGGGAAAGCACGAACTAAATACATCACCAAACATATTAGAAATCGATGCTCTGGAGGGTATATTTAACTCATGGAATACAAAGGGAATAGAGTAGACATTATCAGCAAATATGCATATGTGATTAATCTGCATTTTCTTGTCCTTTCAAGAAGTTTTCTTCAAGAAAAAACTAGAGGTGCATTAGGATTTAGGAGAACCTACTCCGTAATTGACTAATTTTCTTGTTAATTAACTCTTGCGCGCTGCGGCTAAGTCCTACTCCCCTTTCAATGAAATTAAATCCGAAATATGAATATTATGCTCTACATTCACAATTAACACATTTCATCTACATTTCATCCTACCAAATTTTCTAGCATAATTAAATAAGAAACACATAAACTAAACAGCCTAACCTAAATTCACAAATCACATACCTAACAACTAATGAGGGCTTGCGTGTAATCCATGACTAACTTAATTTTATAGACCTAATGCAATGCCAAACCTAACCCTAATCAACACTCACAGAGTCGCAGTTAATGCGCAATGTATAAACAATTTAGTCAAATTAGAAAAGCTGGAAAACAAAATTTCCCAATCGTCAAGATGAATCAGATGATTACTATAGGTTAATGAAGAAACCAAATTTCTCCAGCTGAAGTAACACAAACCGGAAAAACAAAATTGAACTGAATTTAATTACCTTGGCACGTTCTTGGCTGAAACCCTATGCCGCAAAGATTCTTTCACGCCGATCATATTTACGCCTGCATTCAACAAGAAAATAAATCGCAGAAAAAAAATTGCATATAAAGGCAAATAAGAGAGGAAATGAGATGGACTGTTGAAAACTTGAAATTGCTAGTAAGTATGTATCGAGATTGGCGAGTAATTACTTGCCGTCAGAAAATGTAGAGCATGTATGCTAAATTCGTATTATTGGTCTGTTTGTTTGCCGAGAAACAATTGAAAGAAGAAAAGAGGAGGAAAAGAAAACCATAATTCTAGTAGAAAGTCATTAAAACAATCTGTTGTGAAATAATTTTCCTACAATGTCTCATAAATCAAACATGTAATGAAGCTTGTAGAATATCCGCAGAAGTATCTACTACCTTGCGCTTACCGCACTGATTCAAAATTAGTAACTGGGGATGTTTCGAGAAATTGCCCAGTAAAGTGAAAGTAAACGACAGTGGATTAACTGTTTAATTTTTTGGTAATTGAGGTGTTTCCCGTGCTACCAATTGGGGACGGTAACGTTCTATCCAGAAGAGGAAAATCGTTAAAGGTGTACACTTTATTGTCTGCTCCTTCTTGTTTCAAAATTAACAATTGTAGTCCCTGTAAGTATTTTGTTTTTCATGTCAAGAGTTTATTAATGATTTTTTTTTTCTTTTTTGAGATTGAATGATTTAATATTTTGGTTACTAACTATAAAATTATAATTTTTTTCCCACAATTTTAATTATATAACTTTGACTGTACTTATATTTTAAAAATTTTTTAATCATTTGCATTATATCCTAAATTATGGTTGACAAAAAAAAAGCACTATTTTATTTTCTTACATTAATCTTAAAATACAAACCTGCAGATAGGGACAAAATCCTTAAGTGTCAGACTAGCTCTGATCTAGATTAGACTATGCCTAGTAATAGAGTTCAGATACCGGTAATAACACAAAAAAAAAATCTTAAAATAATAATATGATAAGGTGTGTGTTAAACTAAAATTCAATAATTTTTTTATAATATCTGAATATAATAATCGATTACAAAATAATAATTAAATACTCCTAAAAATCCATTTATTTTCAAAAAAATAATTTAAAAATATTTAATTAAAAGTAATTAAATGCTCCTTGAAAAATAATTTCAAATGACTTATTCTTCTTTTTAAAGTTAGTAAAAAATACTATAAATTTTATAATTTTAGGTATTTTAAAAATTTATTATTAAATATAAAAAAATACATAAAAATGATAAAGATAGTTGCTAATAACTCATGGTGTTGGCCATCGATCGTTAATAAATTAAAAAATATAAGATTATACTAAACTTGTTAATCTCTAAAAAATATTTTTAATTTTTGAAAAATATATAAAAAGACATTTTCCTTAAAAATATTTTTTTTTCTCAAAAAAATTTAGTTTTTCCTTTTATCAAAGAAATAGTTTATATTCACCTACGCACTTTAAACATTGGAAAATCTAGAAAATATTTTTTAAACAATTTATTTTTCGGAAATAAATGAATTTTAACGTTTAAAAACTTTCAAACTTTGTGAACTCTTGTTTACAACAAGCTTTGCAACTCTGTGAATGTAAAATTGAATTCTATTTAATTTTGCATTATTGTTGAATGTTGGGGATTAATCAATATGAGATAAGATAAAAATCATTCAATAAGTAAAATCATTCATCCTTCTAGTTCTAGGCTTTCTTCTTTACAAACTTATGATTTTTATTATTTAATTGGTAGAATTATTATTAAAATTTTAAGCAACTTTTTGTCACGACCCATTTCCGTGGGCCGCACTGGCACTAGAGCCCAGGTAAGCTTAAAGCCCCCGAGGCCCGTAGTAAGCCTGAAATACTCGAAATTTACTATCTCAATAGAATTTTAACATTCAGCCCATATCCGAGGCCCGTTAGTAAGGCCTGAAATACTCGGAAATTTACTATCTCAATTAGAATTTTAACTCAATAGAATTTTAACATTCAGCCCATATGATTATGAAAAATAAACCTCAAGATTTTATTATTTCTCGGCCCAAGTTTATCTTCTACAACATTCCATAGTTCGGACCCAATTCACAATACATCACATTTCTAATATAGGCTTACAGAATTGTGTTGGCTATATTAATACATGCCTACATATACGTAAGTCCTACAACTGCGGAGTCACTAATTCTTTAGTATACATAGTTTTTATACACATAATTACATAGCAAAATAATTATGGAACTAAAAAAATTTCTCTATTGCCCTGCGCCGAAGAAAGAAACATTAGCCTTAAATCGGATTAACAGGAAAAACCTACTTCCCCCTTGAAAAAACAAACAAGACAATTTTGATTTTCTAAGGGTAATTAATTTTTGCACCACACACGCAGTCACAACAAATGTGTAAAACATATTAATCTAGTCGCCGACTAAGCTTTATGCTCACGCAAAGCCAGTCACACAAATGGCAAAATCACCAGCACTTCACAATCATTTAACATCTTCTTATAATCACATCACGTTGGAAAATTAGTCAGTGGAGTTCACCGAACCCCCCGATGAGCCGTCCTCACCACAATGGCTCAATTTCCCTCTCACATGTGCCACCAGGAAGCCGATCCCCCCATACTGGCCGACCGCGTCTAATCCTCACTTGACCAGCCCTCTCATTGTTTTCTATTCTCTCTTTTCTTTCCATACCAACAGGAGGCAAACCCGTGTCTCCATCCAACTAGATCATCAAGCGCTCACAACAGGAGGCCACCCTCGGGCTATGCAATTCAAACTCTAGATTTTCAGGTGCGCAAAACAAGCGGCCATCCTGTGGTTTTAGAATAAACAGAATTATCAGTGCACACGGGGCGCGATCTCCCCATTTTACCGGCTAACAGAACAGGAATCAGATCCATATAAACAGAATCAGAAGTATAACAGAAATCAGAAATCAGGATCCGTTTATAACAGAAAAGTCTCAACAAAACCCATTTGGTGACCCACTTCATCACTAAATTCCATCACAAAACAAAAACACAGCATATCACAACACAATTAATCAAGTATTGCAATTAAATGCAAGCATATTTAATCAATTAAACATCGTAATGCAATGCCAAATAACTAAATAAATAAATAGTATTAACAATTAAACCAAACAAATAGTATTAACAATAAACAACAATAATAAAATAAATAACAATAATAACAATAATAATGGAAATAAATAAATAAATAAATATGTAAATCATCAAATGAGTAATAAAGATAATAAATAATCAGAGCACTATATTTATTATATACCAAGTTATGGAACTAATCTAGCTAAACTTATTAATTATGTTGTTAATTGAAATTAATCTAAGTTCTATCAAAATTTCGGCAGCACCTCTCCTAAAAATTGGACTATCTACCTGCTCAAATATCACAATATTATCATATCTTTATCGATCAATGCACACAGCCCATCCGGTCGGTGCCATATCAAACAAATTTATTTTCCCTTTCCTCTCCACCCAAAGCCAATCCACCATTAATATTTAAATCGTCAATGCCAAACTTTAAACTTACTATATAATTGTTAAGCAGAAAAATAAATTAAAAAGGCAAATTAGTGAAAATAGCTATTTGCCTTAACATCAAATCTACTAGTTAAAAACTATCCAACTGTATACTTTTAAAACCAATCATATACACCGATAACTCATATATTCCCTTAGTCATAATTAATTGGGGTCTCATGATTTCAGTTTATAGACCTAAATCATTATCCTTCATCAAAAACCAAAACCATTATGTACTAACTCGTTTTAACTGGTTGTATCAATTCTAATTAAAATTTTTACACATCTCTCTCTCAAAAAATAGTAAATAGTAAGAAAATCTTAAAAGTACACTCGTTATATATATTTGTCCTTCTGAAACAACACAAGATCTCAAGGTAGTTGCTGCCGATATACAAAAATTCAAAGTTCTCCTATGCTGAAATCATAGATTACCCACCAATTAACCAATCCCTTGCAAAAATTAAACTTACAACCCCATATGTACTATATCCAGCAATACTTTATAGGAATAATTAAAAATAGTTGCTGCCATTTCACGAAAATTCTCATTTTTTTTTGTTCTATCTCGATCATTAAACCTTTACATTAACAACAAGTTATGAAAGACATAGTTCTACCACCAAATATGGACTTAACTCAACGAAAGACATAGTTCTACCACCAAATATGGACTTAACTCAACAAAAACTATAATCTTCTTTAGCTAGAGGCTGCCACTTTAAATTCAATACTCAATTCTAATCTAAAGCTACATGACTCACTTCAAAACACGCACTAGAATGTGTTTTAATTATAGTTAGTAAATAAAATCAACCTTTTCCTAAAATTTGCATAAATAAAATATATAAGGATTTAATCCTTACTCTAGCTTGGCTAATACATGAAATTCCATATCCTAGCACAAAGAATTCACAAATGATGCAAAAAGGAACTTAGAGAATGAACTTAACTAGCTGTAAAACGAGCTGAAAATTGGAATTTTTCAGTTAAAATGATCGAAATTTGCTCTACTACCCAAAATCTGATTCTGCTGGCATTAGCTTGGCTGGAGCTGAAGAGGATCGTACGAATAAGAGTCATTCAAAAATCAAGAAGATATACAAAATATAATAGATGTGTCTGCAAATAGAGAGCGAATGCGTAAGAGCTTCAACACAGAGACCAGAATACCTTAGGCTAAAGAGTATTCGCTGAAGCTACAGGAGAGCAGAAGATAGATAATATATTCCACTGAGAGGGGTGCGGAGCTGTTCCCGAGGAGAGGCGCCGGGGAGCGAGATAAAATCGCGAATCTTAGCCTCATCTTTTTACTACGTTCATCATAATCTCTTTGAGAGACGAGAAGATAAACCCCAAGAAAAGATATTATGTCGACGAGAACATAAGAGAAGAGACCGAAATATGCTTCATTCTGCTGAATTATACGCTTACGCGTATATAGAAGATTCGCAGAAATTTTGTGAGGGAGCCCCACAATCGAATGAAAACTGTGTGTTTTCTCCGATCTAAATTAATGATATTTTCCGATCAGACTGATATTTTTCAATCAGCAGGTTCCTTGCTGATAGCTGAGGCGCTCGCCAAAGATCTGATTAAGTTAGAGAGTAGAGGAGTGAGAGTCTTGCGCTTTAATCCAGCATGTTAAATGGCAGTGGATGGCCGGACTGGGTTTGGCAAAGAGAGAGCTGTAGGCAGGAAATAGTTTTTATTATATCATGTGACGGTGACAATATATATATCGAGAGGAGAGGACAGAAAATGAGGTAGATTTATGGGGCCAGGGTGATAGTTTTTTTATCGCGCGGTCCGTCTCTGGTATAGGTATAGAGGTAGGAGAGGATTGAAAAAAATGTATAATTTAATATATATAATTTAATAATATATATATATACACACACACAGAGGAAGAGTATAGGCGTTTTGTCTTATGAGGTTTTCAGAGCCATATCCGCGTCAAGAGATTCATGATCCGGTTGTGGCCAGAATCGGCGGATGGTTTTGACCCAAAATTTAAGCTGTTCTCAAAAAATCGAAAATTCGACCAAGGTTAAATACTTAGGGCTTAGGCCCAGACTCCGGCAAAATTTTAGACTCTAATGTTTTTAAATTGTTTGCGTGTTTATAGCCCAAATAGTTGGGAGAATCAAGATTTTTGATTTTAATAAAAATTCGAAAGTTTCAAAAATAAAAAATATTCAGAAGGTTGCTTTCATATCTTATTCATGAGTTTTATAAATAATAATATAGAAAAACAGAACATTATATATTTTTTACCTTTAATTCTTAGGGAATTACCATTTCAAAATTCGAATTTCTACTTTTTTAATATTACTTTGATACTTTAGTAGTTAAAGTTTAATAAACTTTTAAGCATGATAAATTTAAAAATTACAATCTTTTGATAAATTGGCTTAAAATATTTAATTTTTAAACTCATATAAATTATGAAAAACATAGTATTAAACAAAATTTATAAATTTAAAACTATAAAGAGTAATATATAATAATAAAACAAATTCGTTATAAATTTAAACTATTAAGTACCGTATAGGGTTTATGGACTTAAAATATAAATATGTGATTACTTTGTATTAACTCTGGCATAGGCGTATTGCTCAATAATATATAATATTAAGCCAATAAAATTTAATTGGTAAAATGCTTTTTGCTATGATCGTTAGATCTTAACCTTTTTTTTTTTAATAACTGTTAAAATTTGGATGTAACGCATCCTTTGTCTAACTTTTTTATTTGTAGTTATCATCCAAACTTGCATTTTATCAAAATAAATAATAAAAATTAATCCTCTTATTATAAAATTCATTTTAGCATTCGTTTTATTTTTAAAGCAAAATAGTTTTTTTGCTTTGATTTAAACAATTTAATAATTTTATCTTTTAATAAAAAATTGTTTGGTGTTTATAGCCCAAATAGTTGAGAATCAAGATTTTTGATTTAATAAAAATTCGAAAGTTTCAAAAATAAAAATTCAGGGTGTTTCATATCTTTTCATTTTTATAAATAATAAAGAAAACATAATATTTTTACCTTTAATTCTTAGAATTACCATTCAAATTCGAATTTCTACTTTTTTTAATATATTGATACTTTAGTAGTTAAAGTTAATAAACTTTTAAGCATGAAATTAAATTACAATCTTTGATAATGTAAAATATTAATTTTAAAACTCATATAAATTATGAAAAAATAGTATTAAACAAAATTTATAAATTTAAACTATAAAGAGTAATATATAATAATAAAACAATTCGTATAAATTTAAACTATAAGTACCTATAGGGTTATGACTAAAATATAAATATGTGATACTTTGTATAACTCTGGCATAGGTATTGCTTTATATATAATAAAAGCAATAATAATTTAATTGGTAATGCTTTTTGTTATATCTAGACTTACCTTTTTTTTTTAGATAACGTTAAATTTGGAGGTAACGCATCCTTTGTCTAACTTTTTATGTAGGTATCATCCAAACTTGCATTTTATCAAAATAAAATAAAATTTTCTTATTAAAATTATTTTAGATGTTTTATTTTTAAAGAAAATAGTTTTTGTTGATTAAAAATTAATATTTTATCTTTTAATAAAAATAAAACAAAAATAATTATATGAAAATTTTGATTTTTTAAATTAAGAATTATTTTTTATGGTTAAAACAACTACAAAATAATCAATTTAATATACAAAAATAATACATAAATATATAAATTTATCGTAACGTTATAACTCTAATCTTATGATAGATTAAAGTTTACAAATAACTTATCGCAAAATTTAGTAATATTACACACTTTTCTGCATCAGCTATAACAATTTTTAAAATTTTTTACTTTTATATCTATCGATTTGGATTTTTCATTTTTATTTATTATTTTAATTTTGTAAATTCAAGTGTTTAATAAAATAAATTTTGAAATTAAAATATTTAATAGATATAATTTTATAAATTAAAAAATAATTAAAAGAGATAAAGATAACTACAACTCTCTGTGTATATATATCGTGTTATTATCAGTTGGATAAATCATTAATTATCAGGGAGAAAATGAGGAAGGTTTTTACTTATTAGAAATATTTTTTTGGTTTTGAAAAATTAAAACAGAACACTTAAAATACTCTTACCTTTCGTCCTTCTTCCATAGGCCATAGCCATCTGATTCTGAGGTAGGTTCGCACATTTATTGTCACAAACAAAGCAATAGAAAGAAAGAAAGATAAGAACACGGTGTTGTGGGTTTTCGTCCACAGACTTGCCCATGAATACATAACTTCATACCGCAGAGCTTTTCTGTCACTTAAACGCATCAATGAAGTTGTCACTTCCGAAGCTCTATCTCCTTACTTACAATTCCCTTCAAGCCTTTGGATGGTACATTCTTATCAATCTCTTGTTTAAATCCTCTCTTTCACTTTCCTTCTCCTCGTAATTTGTTTGCTATTGTTTCGTTACAGGACAATTGCTCTCTTTAGAATTTTAAGCAGCTTTATTTCCTCCCGTTCAATCAACGGAGCTTATGCCTCTGCTGGGGAACTTATCTGTAAGTTCATTTCATTTCTTTTTGTTAAAATGGCTTCCTTTTTAACTTGTTTCTTTTAAGTTGGGTGTCTGTTTAATTGAATTCACTATACCTGTTCATGAAGGTCTATTGCAAGTTGCTGCATTCTTGGAAGTGATACATGGAGCTCTAGGTGGATTTTTTTTTGTTTTTAAAGAGATATTATAAGTTCAATTTGGCTCTTAATTGGAAAAGAATAGATTATTTAATATAATTAGCTAACTTTTTATTAATTTCTTGAAATATAAGGTATTGTTCCAAGTGGGTTTTTGTTCCCTCTTATGCAATGGGGAGGAAGAACTCATTTCGTGTTCTATGTGCGAAACATAGTTGAGGTTTGTGCCTTTTTCATTTCTGAAAAACTCCCATTTTGAAGCAATTAGAAACCATTTATGTACAATCTATTGAATATCTTCCATGGTTAGTTAATAGTGAATTTAACAAAATGAGCAAACAATACCATGGCAAAATTTACTATATCTTAGGATTTCTGGTTCATTTGATGCTAGATTAAATTATACATTGATTTGAATCGATAACTATATTAATATAGAATACTTTCTTAGTTTAAGTGATCTAATGATTACCTTGTTTTTTGTAGGTCCGGGAGTTGCCATCAGTTTTTATAACCTTTTTGGTTTGGAGCCTAGCTGAGGTTAGCTGTTAAAACCGTTTTTTTTTTTTTTAATATTGGAATTTATCTCTTAATTTCATGGCTTGTCTGCAAATGGCTTGAAAACTTTTGCTTGCAATAACCATGGGCGTTTTTATGAGCTCATATACCAATAAAGCAAGTTTTTTGTGCAAGAAAATGAGAAGTTACATAACCAAATCAGATTGCATTTTGAGTAATATGTTTAAATGTATTCAATTTAGTGTTCAAACTGTTTTGGTTCCACGGGAAGTGGAATAGAAATGTGCCTACTTAATATGTGCTTATGATGCTGTTATTAATTCATTTTACTTTTGCATGCAAAATATGATGTTCACTAATTACGAGCGAAAGAATGCATCAAATAATAGAATGGTATACAGTCTAAACTTGGTTTTGTTGAGAGATGAATATGTGCTAGCAGACTACAGAATCAAAGATTTTGTCAAGTGTGTGTGAACTTGTTTCAAGTGCGATGCTTACTGCTGACTGTAGTAACAGTTGAGATGCGGTTTTCCTCCATTGTTTGATTAAACATTTCATTATCTGATCCATCAATCTATTTCTCTAGTAAATGTAATTAGAGTTAGAAAACCTGAACACGTTTGAGCCTCCCTCCCCTTCAACACTGAAAAACCAGGCTGAACTTCTAACAAGCCCGCCCGCTTCCATAGAACAATATTGTGGCGACATAGACCTAAGTGGTATCATATTGGATCCTTGGGAACAATCACTCAATTTGTTGTTTTTGGTTTGTTGTGTTGTTGCTCTATTCCTATTTTTACTTATTGTACTCCATTTGCATGCATAAGTGCAAAGTTTTTCTTTCCTCATATTTATTTCCCATTTTATTGGTTTGTTTGATATGGTCACAATCCTGAAATACAGGTAATTAGGTATTCGCATTATGCTCTCAACTGCCTTGGAAATTGTCCATCTTGGCTCACTTACCTCAGGTTTGACAGAAAGTTGATATCTTTGTTTAAAATTAGTCACTAAAATCTCAATCTCTGTCTCTGTCTCTCTCTCTCTGCCTGTGTGTGTGTGTGTGTGTGTGCCCTCATAAACATTTGCACAATCACTCTCAAAAAAAACATGTGTGCAGACATATGTTCAATGGCAGAATTTACATTACATAAGCTGAATTCTTTTTAACTTTCGCTTTTCTATAGGTATACTGCATTCATTGTTCTATATCCTATTGGAATTCTTCCTGGTGAAAGTGAGTGTTTGTCTTATTTTCAGTTCATTATTTTCTGAATGAAGTCACTAGACATATATCATTAGGTTCTATCTCCAACCACCTCTATTTTTTTCATTTTTGCTTCATTCTTTATTAAGTTCTGTATTTATCCCTCATCATTGTGCAGTGTGGCTTATGTATCAAGGAATTCCATTTGCAAAGAAGAACCACCTTTATGCTAGTTTATTTTCTGCTCTCCCATTCAGTTATACTGACTTTATAAAGGTATGTCGAGCTTCTTCTGAATTTTGTGTGGTTGCATACCATTCCCATCATAGCCATGCTACGACAGCTAGTTAGTCTAGAACTTCTATTTAGATATGAAATTACTCAACTGGCATCAACAGGTTTGATTAAGTGTCAATCTTACTAGAGGTTGCATTTTGGTGGGTTAATTGGTAATTATGTGGCCTTTATAGGATGGTAGATGAATTATGTATTTTCTTTCTTTTTTTTTTTCAGCCATCAAAAGAATAAATTATGTGCTTCTCTAATTTCTAACATTTGGATGCATCATGTAAACTCACATCTTACCTGCCTAGTTCGTGGTTGGCCTTGCAAGCCTTAGTTTGGGTGGATTCGACGCATAGATATATTTACAGTTTTTATTTTATTTCATTTTTAAAACCTGCACTGAATTGAGGTTCAGTTTTGATTTCCTATTGGAACCTTTCCAGTTGTGCTCCCTTTGGGCTAAACTCAGATTACTTACTTAACACACATGCACAAGCTTTTTCGAGATTTTAGGAAAGTTTGAAACAAAATAACTGTGGAAGTGTAAAAACAAAAAGGATACTGGAAATTATTAACCAACTTGAACATCAAAATCACTAGTGAGAAGATGGTAGTTTTGATAGTTCTTTTTGTCAAATGTATGCTGAAATTTCCCAAGCTTTTCGGGTTTGATTATCTGGCTGATATTTGCAATTATCAACCTGAGCTTTTTCTTTTGCCTTTAATGTTAATGTTCACTCAGCAGATAGTTCATCCGCATATACTGCATCTTATTACACCATAAACTGTGTTTATCACATGCTATTTGATTAAAAAGAAAAAATTCTCATTGAATGTTCTTTGTAAATTCATTGACTGTATCATTTTAAACTCTTTGGATCAGGCTGTGCTTATGCTCTACCCCTTCTTATGGTTGAGACTTTACTTGCATTTGTTAAAGCAACGGCGGTCGAAACTGGGGAAACACCATGAAAGGAAGAGAAAGTGAATATTGGAGTGTGAGTACTAAATCTTGATTGCAGAACCTCAAGAGTAGAAATTATTTAAACTGATGTTGTTTCATCTTCAAACAAATCATATTTTCACCAAAATTAAGAAATCAGTTTAACTAATTATTTTTCCTTATTTTTTCCTAATATACTTCTAGTATCGCATAACTCCTCTAAAATGTAAAATTGTCTTTAATATCATTTCTTAGTTGAATAATGTGTAAATGTATTATCTTCCAAAAATAAAGGATATTAAGAGGTTTGATTAGGAAATAAAAATTCAAATTTTTTAAACTCTTGTAATTCGGTAGCTATGTTGGCTTCTTAAAAAAATTGGACCCAATTTATAAACTGAACAAATGCAACAGTATGTCCTATAAAATGTGCGTATAAATCATAAATTGGATTGAAAATCGAACGAGTGAAAAAAAAAAAAAAGTTATACTCTAGCCTTTGAGGGGAATTTATTATTAATTCCTCTTTATATAAATTGCTTAAAAAAGAGATTATTTTATACTCAAATAATCTTTCAACATACTTGAATAATTATTAAAGAATTTAAATGTGGAGTAGCTTCACAAAAAAATAGTCCAAAGTGTCACAACTTTTAACTGTATTCCATTTCTAAATTTTATGCAATTTCAAAACTCAAATTTCATTTCAATTAGAACACAATTTTCTTAATTGGACCATATTTATTTTTTCAACATAAATTTAAAGAATAACAACTCTATTACCAGATTTCTTTCACATTTAATATTCATCTACCCTTTTACCTTGATAATCTCTTATAATAAAACTTTCACAAAGGATAAGATAAGGATAATATGGGGTTTTCACATTGGCTTTTTTTTTTTTTCCAATATTATCAAAAAAAGGAAAGTTTGTCTTTATAAAAAGAACACCCAAAAAGAAAAGTTTGTCTATATATATATAAAAAAAAAACGGATGAAGTAATATTTAGTATTTTAACGAGTTTTCAATAGTCGATTTAAGATTTTTATAAACACAATGTTTATAATAGCATTCCAATTTCCAACATCTAAGTATTTACAATGTTGATTTTAGATATTCCATAAACACAGTGTTCATAATAGCATCCAACATCTAGACTTGCACGAGTTTGCACGAATTTTCAATAGTTGATTTTAGAATTTCAATAGACAAAATGTTTATTGGCATTCCAATAATTAGTGGTCATCAATAGAAAATTGTAATTAAACTTACACCGTTGAAAGTAATGCCTCCAATCCATAATACTTGTTACATTTGAGAAAATAATTCGTTCTAAAATACTTGTTATATTTGTGGTTTTAAGGAGTAATAAATATTTTTTTCATGCTTACCATTTATATATTACCAATAATTATTACTTCAATTTAATACCGATAAGCGACTAAGTATTCTCGGCGGCGAATTAAATTCACAATTGGCATTTTATTTCTATTTTACCAATATATATCAATATATAAAGGATCAAAAGATTTGTCTTTATAAAAAGAAACACTCCATAATAAGATCTAAAAGTGGGCTCCTGTCTATCTTCTAATTATACCCTATAAAAAAAAAAACGGATAGAGCCAGTAAATTTCATTTAAGCGTCTTTACCTATATGTAAACGAGTTTTCAATAGTTCCGCAATTAAGGGAAGAGTTTTTATCCCAAACAACAAAAATGTATTATACCAAAATAGCATGCTCAAATTTCGGCAAATCGATGCTAGAGTATTTACAATGGTTGATTTTAGAAAATACATTTGCGCGATATACCCAACACAAGTGTTCATATGCATCCAACATCTAGAACATTGCAACGAGTTTTGCCACCGAATTTTCAATAGTTGATGGGGTCTTAGAATTGTTCAGATAGACAGAAACATTGGTTTAATTGGACATTCGCGAATAGATTAGTGATCATTTGCAATTACGAAAAATTGCTAACTTTCTATAAATCTAGCCGCACCGAATTGAAAGTGGTCAATTGCCTCCAATCCATCAATACTTCGTATAACAAAGTTTGACCGACAGAGATAATGGTGCGTTCTTAAAATATCTGTTAGTACTACTAATGTAAGGTTTTAAACCATGGGAGTAAAAGGATAAATACTGTTTTTTCTAATGTCTTAACCATTCTCATATTATAATACGCAATACTATTTCTCCGTGGATTAACACAAAATTCTAAATTTAATGGTTTTCAATTAAAAAAATTATAAGTCATTAAATAAGATGTCTGGTATGATATAAGTTTTAAGTTACATCAATAAACTTGATATGTGTGTGTAACTCTTAGAAAAATGTTTATGATGATTTTATTAAAAAACGTGGAAATTCCTAAACTATGAGCCAAGTATTAGTGGAACTAAAAAATTATGTTACGTATTAAATATAGTTATCTAGGGCTTATATATAATATTTGCTCATAGAGGATATATGAGGTAGGGTCACCTATTATCACAATAGTATACTCATATTAGAGCAGGAAAAAAATTATATAAAATCTAGATTTATTGATCAAAGTTTACATAATCACGGCATTTGTACCCACTTATCACTTAAACTTATGCGAAATCGAGATAATTAATATAATATTAATAATGAAAGTGTGACTTCTTAATAGGCGTGATTAAATGGTTGCTTGTCTTTTTATTCATTTAACATGGACACCTTATTAGCTATACCAACCATAAAATATTAATACTAATACATTATTCCTTAATTAACCCCTCTTAACTTCAACATTTACTTTTTATTTTTTCATAAGATTATATCTTTTTATATTTTAATAATTTTGATACCTACAATAGCTTTTGAATTTATTATTTATCATCCTTTATGCCTTATATATTAGAGAGGAAAATTTAAATCTAGATTTATTGTCAAGTGGTACATACATTTGTACCACTTATCACTAAACTATGCAAAGTATTAATTAAAAATGAGTGTTGATTCTTTAGCTATTATGGTTGCTTGCTTACATTTAACAACATATTGCTAACCACAAATATTAAACTAAACATATTCTTAATAACCCCCTAACTTCAAATTTCTTTTTTTTTTTTTCATAAGATTTTCTTTTATTTTTAATTTTGAACCTCTAGCTTTTGAATTTTTTTTTTCCTTTTGGCTCTCGACGTGAATTCTGGCCGTACCACTGCTTTTAATATGATGTTTATCTAAATAACTAAATTTCAGTAACCATTAAACTAATGGTGTTCTTAATATAATGTTCAGAAGCGATCCGCAATAACATTGCAATAATTAAAAAAGGAAAAGAAAGAATACTAATTAATTAGAGAATTTAAAAAGAAGCCAAGAACACAGGAATCAGCAATTAATTACCAAACCAAATACAAACATTGCCAACAGAATTACCAATACAACATTGAAAATAAAAAACACTTGCCAACCCAACATTCAACCATATCTCTCACCACATAACTCTCTGATCATACTCTTAAAAATCTGCTGAGGGAAGCTGTTCATGTGTATTGGGGCTAATGAAGAAGGTCTCGTAGACAACAGCAGCAATTCCTCCGCCGATAAATGGACCGAGCCAGTAGACCCAGTGGTTGGACCATGTCCAGCTTACCACTGCTGGTCCGAAGGAGACTGCTGGGTTCATGGATGCACCATCAAAGGCACCACCGGCCAAAATGTTGGCACCCACAATGAAACCAATTGCAATAGGTGCAATGGTGCCAAGGTTACCCTTCCTTGGGTCTACGGCGGTTGCGTAGACTGTGTAGACTAAACCAAAGGTCATTACAATCTCGAAAACAAGTGCATTCCAACTACTAACGCCAGATGATAGGGCAAAGGCAGATGTTTCCTAATATCAGAAAATCAAGAAAAGTTTCTTAGTTCATTGTCCAAGAAATTGCTATGGTTATTAGGTTAAGTGAAGAAGGTACTTACCAATCCACCAGTTGCAAACTTAAGAAGCAAGCAAGCAACGACGGATCCGAGCAACTGGCCAACCCAGTACAAAATACTTCTCATCAATGTTATGTGTCCACCAACAAAGGCACCAAATGTAACAGCAGGGTTTACGTGCCCACCAGATATGTTAGCACCTACTGAAACGGCGACGAATAGTGCAAATCCGTGAGCCAGTGAGGCAGCCACTAGACCGGCCGGTGTTGTTGACCCATCACTAGTCAACTTATCTGCCAAAGATGATTTTATTTGTTAAGAAAAGAGTATAAATATGGTAATAAGGAAGCCAAAATGTAAATTAAGGGACCATAAACTTAACGATTAAATTGAAATAAATGATTCAAAGTGTGTCTTCAAATATTACAGTTTCTGGGTTTAAACCATAGAACCTCCTTTCATATTTTTATTTTTTTTCCAAAAGGGAAGCGATTGTCTACCCGCTTCATCTTGAATATGATGAAGAATAGGAAATCAACCAAAAATGCAAATTATCAGTTGAAAGAAAAAAATACATTGCAGGTTAGGTTCTTACTGAATGCCATGCCGGAGCCTTCACCAGCAAAAACGAAAATGAGAGTGGAGATGAACTCAGCAAGAGCTGCCTTCAAGGCATCTGCCTGGCCAACCTCTGCCGGAGATCCAATTGCAATGCTAGTGATCGGCATTTTTTGAAAATTCAATTTAGCTTTGAGCTACAAAAAATTCAAAGCCAAGTTTTGAACTTTTTTTGACTTTAGTGCTTCTTGTTTCTATACTTGCATACTGAATTATCTATCTACATATATATATATATATATATATAGGACTCTAATGTAAGTAATTGTAACCGGAATAACCGGTTTCTATCCGGTTAAGTTCAACGAGGAAAAAAAAAAACATGGTTTTACTGACGGCCACCTGTCACTGTCTAGCAGGAAAAACCTCCTTTTGTTCCTATCATGCGGGTGATATGAAATTGACGGGCCAATCAGAGAGAGGAGAAATTCTCATCATTCATCACCGACCATTGGTGGTGGTAAAGTGGGCCCTCAATGATTGTGAAGTGTTATGGTTGGCTGACCGACCATGGGATTTCTTTATACTTGTAGTGATGTGGACGATGGTGGTTAGCTTTGCTGGCTTGTGGCTTCATTTTCATGCACTACTTCATATATACTTGCTCAACCTTAATTATGTTAAAGTTAGTGGGGATAATGAACAGGTGGTGATGATATCAGCACTCGAGCTATGATGTGGTAAATACAACCGCATGATGTGGAGAAATGGAGCCCACCAAATGTATGTAAAGAAGGTCACGATTAAATTTTACAGCTTTAAATTTTTTACAAGAATTAAAAAAAGAAAATTAATCAGATTTAAGTATACAAACTATCGTCACCTTTCCGTCGTCGTCGTCTTCTTCTTCTTCTTCTTCTTTAATCACATAAGTTTTCCTTGCAGTCGTAAAATTTAATTCATGAACCATTCTTAGCAATTCCATCCCTTTATTTTTATTTTTATGTCTCAAGAACAAAGTAATCTTATTAATTAATCAAGTAATGTTTACAGTAGGCTTATATACTATTGATTTTTCATTTATAAAAAATCTCTTTTTGACAGACACATTGTTCAAAAGTTTTACTAGGTATAAAAGTATGAGAATTGAAAACCCTAAAATCTAATCTTTAATCCCTAAAATTTATTTTCTTTCCCTTAATTAAGATTGAATCTGAAACTGTATGCACTGCATGCACGTAGGTCATAACATGTTTTGAAAGGAAGTTGGAGCTACTTGTCACCTCCTCAACTACTAGTAAACTATATATGTATACAAATGTTGAACTGTAGCTACTATCCCTTAATTGATTGTTCTTATATATATAAAATATACATATGTTCTTCGATTTAATGGATTGTCACTATTCACTAACCTCATCCTCTGAAATAAATTATAACATTTTCCCCATTTTTCTTATTCCCAAGTTGCAGAAAAATATAATTAATGTCGGATTATCATACATATATAGAAGTCAACCAAGTGCAATTCAAATCAAAAAAGAACAAAAACAACTCACACTCATGTGAGAAATTATCACTATTTGTAACATTAGCATTAGATTGAATCAGTCAATATTATATAAAAAAGAAAAAAACTTGGATCTGTATTTTTTTTTTTCTTTTTTGAAATAACTTGAATCTGTATTATTAGCCAAACTGTATATTCTCTGATGCCAACAATGCCTATGAATATAGAAAATTGAGTAGGTAATGTGGGCAATGGCGGACTTAGTTAACCATTTTCATTAATATATATAAGAACCTGCAATTATCGGATCCACCAATATCATATAACCAAGCTTTATAATAATCTTGATTTTATAAGTTTTTATGTTGTCTTGGAATATATTTTGTCGCCCCATATATATAATTTTTTTGTAAAAGAAAAAATAATGAAAAGAATTGTCACATCTTCCTCTCCATTAATATATACTATTTTGCTAATATTATCTTAGTAATGGACGGCCAAGTGGACTGCCATGAAAATAATATTTTTAGGTTGCTTTTTCTCCCTTGGTAGTTGTTTTGATCTTGGACGCAGAATATGCTACAATATCCCTTTCTGTGAATTCAAATCTTTGCCGTTGATAGCAAATTTGGAAAGGAACTATTCTTAATCCTGTTTCTTTCCGATTCTCTCGTGTGTCGTCGAATATACGTAAATGTTCTGATCATACTAATATTTGATCATTATATCTAACGTATTTAATCCATCTGTTAAAAGATATATAAAATTAACTTTCTTCGTCAATTATAGCATAATGTCACTAAATTTTTTGAATATACTAAATTGGTATGAAAAAATGAACTCTAAAACCCGATATTAATATAGTGTAGGAGGTTTAAAAAAAGCTTTAATAATAAATAAAAGAAAAAAGCAATATTGTGAGGTCGTATATGCACTTACCATTAGATTATGCCTTAGTGCGGAAAAAAGTAATAATTTTACTCCATTTTAAATTACAAGCTATCCAAACTTTTTAGTAGGAAAAAAAAAAAAAAAAAAAATTTTAAGAATTACAAGCTATCCAACTTTTTAAGTAGGAAAAAAAAAAAAAAAAAGAAAGATATGGGAGTATTTAAAACAAAAAGAATTATTTTTGGCTTGTATGAAACCGTGGAAAAAATCAAAAGCCCAGGTGCTATTCATGAAATGGAAAAGGTCACGTTTGTTTAAACTTTTGGTTTAGAGACCCTACAATTGGGTAAGGACCAGCAAATGATGTGTAGAGGCCTAAAAAAAAAAAAAAAAAAAGAAGATATGGGAGTAAATTTAAAAACAAAAAGAAATTATTTGGGCTTTGTTGGAAACGTGAAAAATCAAAAGGCCCAGGTCTATTCATGAAATGGAAAAGGTCCACGTTTGTTTAACTTTTGGTTAGAGACCCTACAATTGGGTAGGCCCAGCAAATGATTGTAGAGGCCTTAGATAGTTGAGCAATCACAGCAAATTTCTTATTGGAGGTTAGGAAATCTTGTTAAATGGGTTCCTAAAGTTCCTTACTTTTCTTCTAGCTTGTAAAAAGCAAATAGGGAAAAGGCTTGAAACTAGCAATACCCACTTTTCATTATTAGGCATTATAAATGATCATTGCAATACAATTTATTTGTTGACTAGAAATACTTTGTACAATTTAAAAAAAAAAAAAATTATAGTTGGGTAATACCATAGACTATACACATTTAAATTATTTAATTATAGTAATTAGATGCACTATATTTTCTCTTAAATACAAATTTTTTACTAACTAAAACTTCAATAAACTCATTTACTATTCGCAAAGAGTGACTCAAGTGGTAACACATCAAAGTATATTATAGTGTTAAGCGCACATATGATCTAGATCAGATTTGAATCCTCCCTTTTCCGATGTTCAAAAAAAAAGTTAGATAGCAGACAAAAAATCATTAGACAAACACGAATCGTGAAAGTAGATTAATGGTATCTTTATTTCTCTTTTCTATCCTGAAACATATTCCCTTTTTAGCATAGAAACACCACCGAATCTAATAATTCATAGAGCTACTTTGCTGTCTAAAAACAGAATCTGTGTTCAAATATTATTAACTAGTAGTAGTTCAAAAGGAGGGAACAATAATATGGAGGTGCTTTGGTTCCTTTTTTCTGTTTTGCCGTCGTACTGGCTACTGCTAAACCACCAAACCCTTTTAATAACTATATTCCAAACACAAAGCCATTAATGTACATATCACTATTGAGTGAGATCTTTTACATTCCAACAACAGCAGAAAAGTGTTACCTGTATTCAAACTTTGGACTAGCTTTGCTTTTCGCTCTTAAAGGCAATGAATATTCTTCAATTTATTGCAAATCCAGTCAAAGCAATAAACACCTACCGTTTTGTATGATTGGTCAAGCATGCTTTCAATTTTTTATTTTTTTATTTTTTTTATTTAGATGGTATTTATTACACATTCTTATTATAGATACTAGCATTGTGTATCCTTAATTAAAGGCTGCTTTGACATAGTAGTTGTTATTTTTTGCTTCACAAATTTTAAAGAAAAAAAAAAAAAAGTTATTACTAATATATGTAGGCGATGTTTGATCGAGGTAAGTAAATTAGGGAAGTGCAACTTACTTTTCGAGAAGTGCATAAAATATTTGTGTTTGGTTTACATTATCAATTCTACTTCTCGGAAAATAGATTATTCAATTTTCCTTACATAAGGAAGTAATTGTTTTTAGAGATGGATAAGAAAATTGCACTTTGTCAATTAAATGTAATGAATTCACCAATTTATATTATTATCTAAATACAATTAAATTTAATTACGGATATTATTTTAATTCGTAGTGTAAGAGCAATTTACTTTTTCTGGAACTTTAAATACTAAACACATTTAAATTAGAATTCCTAGAAAATAATTTCCTTGGGAGTAACTAGACCATTTTTCATAATAAAAGAAAATCCTAAAAAGTATATAATTTCTTTGGCCCTGTTTAGCAAAATTAGATATTTTTTAATAGTTGTTGGTTGTTTTATTAACATTTTATCAAATATTAAATGAAATAATATTTTATAATTCATTCTTTCAAACTTTAAATATTAGTATAAATTTGCAATCAAATGCTGTAAATAATAGAAATAATGTAATAACTTTATTAAAACACCAAATACTATGTTAAAAATTGTTACTAAACATTGCTTTTTTCAACAGCTATCATTGATGTAAAATTGGTGCACATTGTCAAGGTTTGAAGGCAGTATGTTATTTGTCAGGTTAATTCAGATTGCAGAATCCTATGATCTTAACTATATATATAAAGGCTTCACCTTTTACTTGTTAATTACTGCTTATTTGGCCCTGCTTTGCAATTATAATAAAGTTTCAACCCTACATATGATATATGATTAGAAACTATGATTACAGAGAATTGAATTCAAACCGACATAAACCCAATTTACAACCTTGAAAGTAACCTTAGTCATGTCATGTTCCTACACATTGTACTTCAACAACATTAATTGTGATCTTGTTGATGGATGCTCCAGATTTCCGTTCTTTAAAATTAAAACCTTTAGATTCCAGAGTCAATTTTTGGAGCTGTAATTCATATCTACCACGACATTGTCTCTATAATCAATAATAAAATTACATCATTAAATTTAAAATATTTACAAACTCATAAATCAAATTACACCAATGTTGCCTCACTTACATGCAATATAGTAAACATCACTCATAGGAAAGTTTA